GGGGGGGGGGACAAAAAAAAATCTTGCACCAGGGCCCTTTGTTCCTTAGCTCCGCCACTGGTGTAGTAGCTATGCTCATGTTCTCTTAAAAGGACAGCTAAAACGTAAAGGCCAACAATATCTTGTAACTATACAGCCAAAAAGAAAGTTCTGTGTAAAGGCATGTGATGTGCTACAATGCCGGAGGTCATTTGCCATATCCTGTAATAGCAAGTCCCCATTTTCTTGTCTTTATACAGAATAAGAAATCCTATGTGAACAAGTCCACCTTTTTTGCTACTGGGCATCAGATGTCTGCATCTTTTAGATATCACTGCATATATAAGCTTGTTAAGGCTGTATGACTGCACAAAATATAATGTACATATTCCATATTTTCACAACATGAAAAATATATACTAGCTTAATGGGTAATGATGTCATTTCTAGTCCTGAATTACATTACCATAGGGACACTAAATGGGCTTTAGCTGGTCAAAAATGTTCTTTGGCATTAACAGTGCACTTGTTAGGTCGGACAGGATCACTTTAAATGCTCTACTCAACTTCCTTCCTTTAATATTTAAAAAATATACTGGCGAGAGGTCTGTGAGCTTGGTGTTTATAGCATGTTGTTTAGGCCCTCTTCACACTGTTGCAGTAATGTGTGGTGCAGTGTTGTGTCATGCCACTGATTTTAAATGACACCCCAACACAATTCATAGTGTAAAGGGGGCTTTAAAGTTCTGGTATTTTGTAATTCCTGATTTGCCGAGAACACTGAAATACCCAGTGGGACTTACATTCTTGTGTGGCAGGTACACACATCAGTTAAGGCCCCATTCACATGGAGGCGGTTCGGCCGTGCGGATCTGCCGACATGAACGATCCCATACATTGCTATGGGGACCATTCATGCGATCATGCGGGTCCACGCGATCTGAACCGCCTTCCGACTGAATTGCTCCCTGTGCTCTTTTTTTCCGCGCTTATCAGCGTGGTTTACATGCAGCTTTTAATGTTTTGGGAGTTTTGAATTGTGTTTCAGCTCTGAAATGCAATTGTAAACTTCCAAAACCGCATTTTTAAAAATCTCACGTAAACCGCGCTGATCCACACCCGCCCTGGTGTGAACGGGGCCTTAGGTGGAAGTCAACTGACCAGTACTGATGTGCGGGGGCTTGTTGTGAACCCGTTTCACCCAAGCCCACGCACAACTGTGACTGACACCCCAACTCGTGGCCCAATCAGTTGAGGCAGGAGCATTCCCTGCCCCTTCCGACGTGTAGCTGCAGGGTGAAAAATGCCCCTGCTGCAATTGTGTGGGCCAGGAGAGGGATTGTCAGTCTCGGTTTTGCATTGGCTTGGGTGAACCAGGTGAACTGGGCTGCAGAGCTGCAGCTAATTTGTCACTTTTAGTTCTACAAACGTGTGCTGATCTCTGACCTCTATTTTCCACAAACATGCTGTCTGTTCTGTTACTTGTAGTTCTACAGACATGATTTGGCAGTTTAAGGCATTGCCCAATCCAACCTGCTGGTTGATATACAGTAGTAGCTTCAAAGCTAGTCCCTGCTCAGTTTGTCAGTCAGCACCACTATTTAAGCTGTGCACAGACTAGTACTGTTGGCCTTAGCAATAGGTTGCATTCCAAGCCGCAGGCCCCAGTTTCTAGTAAATGTTCCAGTTCCTAGTACCAGTTTAGTACCATTTCCTAGCAATAGGTCCTAGTACCAGTTTTAGATCACCTGTGACCCCACTTTCTCCGGTGACACCTGCACTCTGTATTCACAGAGAATCCTGTGTCTCAGCATCCCTTGCTCTCCTGTACCTTCAGTCTTTATCATCCTGTGCATTCCTGTGAACCCAAAACCTGCATTGGCCCCACCGCCTCTGTGTCGCCAGCACTCACAGCACCTCTTGCATCACCCTGTGATCTCAGTGCATCCCATGACACCCAATGATCCCCCTCCTTTATCTGCTGGTGACCACACTGCATTTCTGTGTCCTCAAGTTCCTGCTTGCCTATCACTCTGGTTATGTACTTCGGTCCGGTATCTGACTATGCTTGTCCACTGACTGCCTGACCTTTGGCCTGTTCGCTGTTACTGAGACTGTCTACTGATTTTGTATTTCACACTGGTTCGTTACCTGGTCAACAGCAAAGCAAATCACCCTTGCGGGATTCGCTGCTAAATACCTGGCAGCTCTTAGACTCAGGTCACAGTTCCGCCAACTGTGCAGGTGACACAGTGGGTCTAGGATTCCTGGCCATACCAGACATCCCCCCTTCATCAGGGCTTTGTACTGTTCAGCAAAGTCTGTACTGGCATAACAAAATTGGAGAAATCCTGAGGGGTAATTATTATGATAATTGCCTGACTGAGAACACCTACTGCTTTAAGAAATCCAGTGCCCCACACCTTTCTTCTACTTCGCCAATACAAGGAGGGCATGTCTACACTGTTGAGGTCAGAAAGGACCCGGGACAAAAATGGTTGGCCAAACACTGAATGCAGCCAATCAAGTTAAGTCACTTTTGATTATTCTGACAGTTGTGGGGGCTGGCTGTAAGAATACAAACACAAGGGAGATTTCAAAATTGAAAATGTTTTACTTATTCATCCCAAAGGGTTGAACCCTTGTACCCTTGTATTGTAAGGTCAACTTAAAGTGGAAGTAATGTCTTTTTAGAAAATAATTGCTGACAGGCAGGCTTTTTATGACAGACTGTGTAAGTGTCTTCTGCCATAGATGCTTCTTGCTTCCTGACAGCAATTTCTTTACTTTCTACTTTATACTGTGCTGCGCATGTGCAGCTCAGGGTACAGGCTCAAAAGCATTCTTGTCGAGAAGAAGTTATATTATCGGGGCCCGGCCAATCAAGAGGCCAAAGTGTCAGAACTCGGGAGAAGACCTTTTTGCCTTGACAAGGAAAGAGTCTGGACATCGCATAGCTGAAGGGAATCGCTTTGGCAGGTAAGGCTGCCATCATTTGCTAATATGCTGTGCACACTAACACATTATGGCTAAAAGCTCCCAGTGTCCCTTTTCTTTTTAAATCTGCTTTACTTGCGCTTCCAGAAAAGCATTACCTACGTTTTTGGGGGTATTTTGTTAGCAAGACCTCATGCAGTAGGTCATTCTAATGTTTAACCACTCTTACCATAAAATAATCCTTCCTATACTGATGGTAAATCTTAGTTCTCCATACATAGCCAACAAGCCCAATTTTTCTAAGGTTTCATTGCCAATCAAACACCATTAGCTAATTTCGCTATCAGCTCTAAATATTGCCCAAAACAGTGCCCTATACACATTTACAGTGTAGATTAATTTATAAAGTTCCATGGAACTCTGCTCCATTAGCCAACTTTCTATCATTGTGTCTAGGTTTTTAAGGTGATGCTGCTGGGTGGAGGTGGCTTTTCTTTCCCAATAAGCATCACAGAAAACGATTTGGCATTTGCATCTGTAGTTTTTTTTAGTCAGCAAAGAGGACCTGCCTAATATATTGAAATAAAAAAGCAAAGTTCTCAAGTATTTCCAAAGGACGCACTGTTGGTATGAACTTAAATCAGATGCTGATTAGAGAGGTTCACTTCAGCTCAACGTGCTGAATGCTACACTTGTGTACTGTGCTGTGCCCTTGGTATATTACTCATCTCACTGTGCATTGTCCATTCTTGGTTTAAACTTATCAAGCGGCTGTCAATTGTGTTTTTGTACTTAACTTTTTTTTAACTTCATTTTTAACATCTTTTATCGCCTTTTGCGGCTTTAGCTTGGCATTGGGTGCTTCACCATTATTTCAAAGTCTTTTTCTAGCTGTTTTTCCTACTTGTATTTCTTAGATATATAAACACAGTACTATTGCCTTGGCTTGGGTGGGTATACTTTTGTCAACATTAAATGTTATCTACCACTTAATTGCCCATGTTGCCATCTTCTATGAGTCTTTCTGTAATATGTCAGCTTTCTTCATTCAAATGAATAGCAAGTATGCAATGGGAGAAGTTTTTCAGTATATAGATTATCATCTTGTATACTTTTACAAGATGCGTTTTTGTAGATAAAATTTGTGTTTTTCTCAAGACTTTTAAAAGGTGTAATAAAAGCTACATTCCCCAGCACTATCAAATAGTAATGTCATGTAAAGTACCACATTGGCAGATTGCTGTCATTCAACATCTGCTGGAAACCTGATAGCAGATTTGGATCTTAAAGAACTCCAGGCTACAAAACAAAGTTAAAGTGAGAATTCTAAACGTTAGTACATTTATATATTATCTGTATGTGTGGGAGATGTATAGTTTAATGATCAAACACAAAGTTGGAATGCTTCATGAAAAAGTAATTCACTTGCCCCGGAACTCCCATAATCTGTGCCTGCATAAACACCATGAAACCTCAAAATTACAATGTGCTGGGGTTAACAGAATTGTCTTGATTGCTTTCTTTTCTATAAATGCACCAGCAATTGCAGAACCAACCATAGATTACCTAGCTTGGTTGCCATGGACATGATGATGGCAATCCCGCATCACAAATATTAATTTCACCATTTTCTGGTGTAAAGGAAACCACATTTGCCAGCTATGTTAATCCACGTTATCTTTGCCATGTTGTCATCAAAAGTTAGCCATAGCTTTTGTGCAGTGGCTAATTTAGCATGATTGATTCTTTTTCTTTTACTACTAGCCCAACCAACCCGTAAATATGCCAGTATATGACTGTTTTTATGGATGCTACTGATTTTTTTTTTTTTAGCTTGAGCTACAAATTTAAAGGCTGAGCTCACATTTTAAAGTGTAACAGTACTTTCAAACCACAATAGTCATTTGATACCGTATATCCAGTAACCTATTGAGAGCCGTGATCGCAGACCCAGGTCAGTTTCAACAATGCTTTGTTTACATTAAGCCTGCCTGTAATGTACATTATTTAGGAAGAGAAAAGAAAAAAACAAAAAAGAAGATTTTTCAGCATTTTTAAAATTATCTTTGTAATAGTGTACTTACATAAATGGTGAAAATAGGAATGACAGGGTGGTTTCTTTTTTCTGTGCCATCTTGATCTGGAAAATGTATATTCTCAGTATTATTTACTGATACAGAGCAGAGTTGGTGTAAATCACACAAGCAATTTTTTTTTTTTTACTGGGAACCTTTCATACCAATATGTGCACGGATCTGCTGCAAAAATGAAAGGAAGCGAGCTCCAGCATAGAACTTTACCATATTATAGACATGTCCATAGTCCATAGTCACTCCATCTGGAGTTAGTAGAGAAGAATTAAACTGCCATCCCTGCAGCACCACTGGCCCCCAGTGTTAGCAATATTGCACAATGTGGGGCCTTGTTCACGCACTCTACCTGTTACATTTATGTGAGTGCATTTCTTATTTTATTCATTTCTTTTTAATAAAGAGTTTTATTGTGCTAGGTCTTTGTGCCTCCTTTTCTCTTTTATCTTTCATAGATCAAAAGCATTCCTTGTGCCTTTGAGGAGAGCTGTAATTGGATCTGGACTTGAGAAATCTACACCATTTTTTTCCAACCAAGACAACACCCTGCTTGTTAAGGAGTTATTAAGTGCAGATCTGATAATTTTTTTCTTATCACAAATGGGGGATATTAAAAGAGAAGTAAAGCCAAATCTTTGTTGGGCTTTTGTGCTCTTTTGGGTCACAGGAATAAAGTTGCAGAGCTGCAGCCAGAAAGTATCCCGACAATATTGTCAGGATTCACCCCAGCTGCCTAAGTAATAGCTGACTCTGCCTTTCTAGAGCCACAACAATCCTCTTGTCTGTCCCTCTAGCGAGCGCTGAGCAGCTCAGAGGGTGAGAAGGGGAGAGTGATTATTGGTCACTGCTCTCTGCTGGGAGAAGGGACCAAGAGATGACTGCTCAGTGGTTACATGATCACTTCACTTGGTACAGAGCCGCTGTGGGAGAGCTGCAGTGTCCCACGCCAAGTCATTATGAATTGAGATCCGGTTGGATGACCAGTGAAACATCTTCAAGAAAAATACAGCAAGTCCAGTTGCCTTGACTTATTCTTTACAGATATACCATGACCTGGATGAATGAGAACCTGCACAGACATACTTCCCATATGTTTTAAGAAACTTCTAGCTTATTTAGAGCCAATGTAAGCATGTTTATTGTCAAAAACAGACGGTGTGTGTGTTAAGAGCGCTACTACTGTTTGAATACAAATAAAAAATCATAAAATATAACAATAATAGCTAATAATAATATCTCACACTTATGATGACCTGAATGCAAAAAAGACTCACATTTAAGGTGTCCTGGGGAGCCATGGAGGTGGTCAGGTGGAACCCTTTGACAGATACAGCCGGGTGAAGCCCAGTGGTGTGGACGGCTGAGGGCATATATGCAGAAAGTGATAGAGGAACAGCTGTTTGTCGCAAGGGAACTCAGCTGGCCAGGCTGAGCCGTTGCGGCCGAAGACACTGTATGACTGGATGCTGTGTGACGGTAACTGTCAGTGGCCGTCTTTATGTCAGATGTCTCAGGGGATAGAGTGGCAAAAGTCGTGGGGAACGAACTTCGGCTGGGACAGTAGAAGGGGTATTGCACAGCAGTTGAGGGTGTTAGTATTTGAGGAAGAATAGCGCTACGCATTTCGAGGCAATGCCTCTTTGTCAAGCTCGGGTGAAAGTGGAAGGAATAAGTGTCATCATAAGTGTGAGATATTATTATTAGATATTATTGTTATATTTTATGATTTTTTTATTGTATTCAAACAGTAGTAGCACTCTTAACACACACACCATCTGTTTTTGCTACCACAGGGTGCCTCTCCCTGTTTCTAAGAGCTTGCACACTGTTGCCATAGCCCTGTTTTACTTTTTCCAGCCAAATTTGTACCCCCGGGTAGTGCGCTTGTTCCTTTTTGTCTGTGCTTTATTGTCAGAAAGATGTTTATGAACAGTACCTGGTTGGCCCCAAGTACTGTCATTCCCTTTCACAGTCTGAGTTCTGCTGTACAGGGGATCACATCAAAACTCTTGAATAATGGTAAAACTGTACAGAGACCTGTGATGGAGTTGCAAATGCATTGCAATTGGCCTTCACGGGAAGGAAGAACATCAAGGTCTCTCCAAATTTATTTTAAACCATGGAAGACCAAAGTGGATTATCTGATAAAAAAACTGATTAGAAAATAAGAATAGTATCCTGGTGTATATTTATATTTATGTATCTAGGAGTGTAGATTGAGTGAAGCTGGAGTGAAGAGAGTATATGTTCGGGGCATTGGTGTTTTTTTTAATATCTGTCCCAGTTATGCCTTAAAGTGACATTAAACCCTCAGATTTTCTTAACATAAACCAATACTGTAATGTGTGCCTTACTGTAATCCATGGTTGTTTCCCTTCTCTTTGCTGCTCTTCCTTTTAAATCCTCATGTCTTCTCATGCTTGGGGACAACTTCCCTTTTCAGCTCAGGGACTCTTGCTGTAGTGCTGGCTCAGGTTACAAGTCTATAGAAACGTATACACAGACACCGTGTATCCATTCCTGAGACAAGGCAGTATGCTGCAAAACAGAAGTTCTGCAGAGCATGAGAACAGATACAGATTTAAAAGGAAGAGCAGCAAAGAGAAGGGAAACTACCATGGATTACAGTAAGGCACACTTTACACTATTGTTTTATGTTAAAAAATCTGAGGGTTTAATGTCACTTTAAGTATTGTTTTGTTTTGTTTTTTTTTGCTACAAAAGTGTTCGGTTATTGTAAATATATGGCAGTCATATGAAGAAAAACTTAGATGTGTAGCAGCAGAAAGTTAGCTGCACCTCCAAGCTACAAGGATTAACTCTGATCTAATTTTTGCTCCAAATAGAATTCAGCTACGTTGCTTTATCTCCAGAGCATGTGTAAAAAAAGTGACAAGCTTTTTTCTGACACCACATGATAGAGCTCTCAGCTATGGAACCTTGCTGACCATTTTGAAGAATGTAGGCTTCTTCTTATTTATTAAGTTTATGTACCAACAATATAATGTGAACATGGCCATAAATTTTAATTTGCAATAAATTGTAATACAATTCCCATGCTTTTACCAAAAATGTCAAACCCATTTTAAGCAGAACTCCAGCTATACGAATCTATATATACTTACAGTATATTTGTCCAACCTGGCACAATGTAAGTATATATAAATTATCCCTGGCGGGGCCATGGGGGTCCTGTAAAACACTGCAGTAGCCGCAGGTACTACAGTGTCCTACAGCGATCTTCTGGGTCCAGGAACAGACGCTGTGCTGAGCAACTTCCGCTCTGCTGTTAAAATACAGAGGGTTGTTCACTCAGCACAGCGGTCATTCAGCTAACGTTTAGTATTGTTCTCAATGGATACTAGGCATCTTTTGATTGGATGAGGGGCAGTGATTTGATTCACAAATCCAATCAGAGAAAGCCTTTAAAGCAAGCTAGCAACCCCCTGTGTTTTCACAGCAGAGGGGAAGTTGCTCAGCACAGCGGCAGTACAGGATGCGGAAGGTCGCTGCAAGACACTGTAGTAGCTGGGGCTACTACAGTGTTTTTCAGGATGCCCATGGCCCTGCCAGGAATAATTTATATATACTTACTTTGTGCCAAGCACCAATGTAAGTTTATATAAATTTCTATAGCTGGAGTTCAGCTTTAAGAGGGTAAAAACAGAAACTCTTATCTAAAGTGTATGAATGAAATATAATGTCATTTTTTTGTTTGTGTTTTTTTCCAGGTTGGTTCTCAGAGCAACAGTATCAGACTCATAAGGAGCCCAAACAAATAAAAAGAATAATACATGCTTACCTTGAACTGCTCCAGGATCTGAAGCGCATTAGTAAGCATACTCTCCACTTTAAAAAGACTGCTGCTGTTAAGATACTGCACAGGCAAAATACCCTAGGAGCAAAAACACAGGAGAACAATGTGAGCCGAGTTCACTTCATTAATCACACTGCTTAGACAGTAAAACAACCAGCACGATTTTCCAGTAAAGCCAAACGGGGAAGAGAGATGAGATGTATAACATCAAATGCATGAATCAGCCTTTCATCGAGAAGCACATCTTAGATCAACAGCCAGTTACTGTACTTCATAAATTTGCTTTCTTTTTGCACAGCTTTCTCCCTGGTAGAAAAAAATAAAACAAAGTTTTACCTTTTTCTAAAGAAAATGAAACTACTTGAGCGCATTTAATCTGCATTGCAAAGTGCAGTGATAGCAGTAATTCAATGCGCACGGGCCAAGTTTTGCCTTATATTGACTGGTCAAAGAGGAGTGTCAGATGTGCAAGGGTTATCTGGCCACCTTGTCAGGCAGCTGTCATGCTGAGAATGATGTGTGAGGAGACATGTGCATTAATAATGTATTTGTTATAGGCAGGCCTGGCGCTACCGCAAGGCAAGGCAAGGCAAGCGGCCGCCTGAGGGCGCTAAAGGGTGAGGGTGGAAAAAAAAGGCATTTTGACAAGTTCTTGTACTTTATAAAATGCCCCGATGCTTGCACTGTTTTGTTTTTTAGAGAGCAACGGCGAGTCAGCGCTGGTCCGGTGGGAGGAGCTCCAGGTGGAGTCCTAATTTAGCTGGCCGGCGACTGCCAGAGGATCCGACACGCACGGCACCTCTGTCAATCGCCGGCCAGCTAAATTAGGACCCCACCTGGAGCTCCTCCCACCGGACCAGCGCTGACTCGCGGCTGCTCTCCAGTACAGCACGCCGCTGAGGACTACAACCAGCGGGGTACCTTCATCGAGCAGTGAGTGAGGGCAATGGGGGGTCTGAACTAATGATTATTAGCAGGTGATAATTGTACATCTATTGTCTGCAGTGTGTACTCTATATGTACTACATATAGAGTACACACTGCAGACAATAGATGCTCTGCTAATATGAATGGAATAAATGATCCATAGTACATAATATGTACATAACATGTAGTTGTACTAGGGATCATTTAACCCATTCATGTTAGCAGAGGATAATTGTAAATCTATTGTTGCAGTGTACTCTATATGTAGTACATATAGAGTACACACTGCAGACAATAGATGCTCTGCTAATATGAATGGAATAAATGATCCATAGTACATAATATGTACATAACATGTAGTTGTACTAGGGATCATTTAACCCATTCATGTTAGCAGAGGATAATTGTAAATCTATTGTTGCAGTGTACTCTATATGTAGTACATGTACGTTACACACGTCCACTACACTGCAGCAATAGATTCACAGTTCTTCCCTGCTAACATGAATAGGTTAAAAGATCCATAGTACTTAATAGTACAAAATATGTAGTTGTACTACGGATCAATTAACCTATTCATGTTAGCAGGGGATAATTGTAACTCTATTACTGCAGTGTACTGGACAGGTGTGCTGTATATGTACTATGGATCATGATTTAACCTAGTCATGTTAGCAGGGCAGAATTGTGAGCGCCTCCCACAAGCTGAGCACCGAGACGCGATGCAGCGATCCTGCCCAGCGACGACTACAAGAGGCACCGCGTGAGGCAACAAGGATCTGAGTGAAACTATGAGTGAGGGAAGCTGGGACGGGGCTGACTGTAAATCTATTGCTATATTGTACTGGACTTGTGTAATGTATATGTAGTACATATATACAGCACATACCTACACTACACTCCAGCAATAGATTTACAATTCTCCCCTGCTAACATGAATAGGTTCAATCATGATCCATAGTACATAACATGTAGTTGTACTATGGATCATTTAACCAATTAGTGTTAGTGAATAGGGAGCGCAGTTAGTGTTAGAGAATAGTTAGTGTTAGTGAATAGGGAGTGCGGTTAGTGTTAGTGAATAGGGAGTGCGGTTAGTGTTAGTGAATAGGGAGTGCCGTTAGTGTTAGTGAATAGGGAGTGCGGTTAGTGTTAGTGAATAGGGAGTGCGGTTAGTGTTAGTAAAGAGGGAGTGCGGTTAGTATTAGTGAATAGGGAGTGCGGTTAGTGTTAGTGAAAAGGGAGAGCGGTTAGTGTTAGTTTATGGTCCTGCTCAACATATTTTGCGGTTCTCCGTACTGTTGCAAGCGGGGAGGCAAAAATCCTTGCACCGGCCCTGGTTATAGGTACTGATATGGTGCCAAAAATGTATGCAGCCCTTTACAAATTGTGCATTCACATCAGTCCCTGTCCTCAAGGACTTACAATCTAAGGTCTCTTTCTCACATGCATACACATACAGGAGACAATTAAGACAGCAGCCGTTTAACCGAACAGAATATCTTTTGGATTGTGGTAGGAAACTGTAGTACACAGAGGATACCCACGCTATCATAGTGAGAAAATGCAAACTCCATGCAGTTAGTGTTCCGAGTGAAATTTAAACAAGAATCTCAGTGCTGCAAGGCAGGAGTGCTCTGCAAATGTAGGATTTGCTGCCATTTGTCATGCACTTGTCTAATGGCCTGCAATTGTCTAACGGCCTGCAACACACTGGTTACTTTTTTCCTTTATTCTTTTTAGAATCAGCAAGTATGTAAACATGTTGTTTAACGCCTAAGGGCTTGTTCACACCATTTCCGGACCAGATCCAGACCAGAACAGTTTTTTGTCTGCACCTAAAATGCATCCCAATGTATTACTATGGTATTTTAGGGCTCTGTTCACACAAGTGCAGTCCATTCTGGTGCGGGGATAAAACAAATGCTGCATGCACTATTTTTTCTGGTCTGGAACGCACCACATTGCATGTAAACGCATCAAAAACACATGCAAATGCACTACACTGCACCAGAAGTTTAGGCAAAAACGCACTGCACTGCATTTGTGGATCTGGTCCTGACATGGTGTGAACAGGTTCTTAGTGACACAGCTTCAGAAAATGTCAGGACCGGAGCAATTTTGCCATTTTTGTGTTTGTTTAACCATAATTTCCATCTTACTCATTTATTGCATCTACACATATTATATACTGTTTTTAAAGGACAAAATGGGCTTTAATTTGATGTGACATGTGCATATATAAATTCTTATATTTTATATAAAACACACACACAAAAAAAATGCATAGTTTTGGCAATAATAATGTGTCATAATTAGTGTAGTTAACAGAAATTAATTCATAATAAATGATTGTATTTGTCCTAATTTATAGGGTATATCAAATGTCTGGGATTTCAGGTTATTGTGGGAGTTATAGATCACAAAATACAGGGAGTAAAATACAATGTTAGTGTCAAACAATTTTGGAATGTGGTATGTTTGTTTCCTAACTTTAATTGCCTCCTCACCACTATATTTTCTTATTTATTTATTTTTTATTAAACGTACTGTATTTTCAAAACCCTTTAAAACTAGGAGGGCACTAAAAGGCTTAATTTTTTTTATTCACAGGGGCTTTGGATACTTAGGAGGTTGTTCACTAAGCTGCCGAAAGGAGCCAAGTGAATAACCGAGCCGAAGTGAAGTGAGTCAAACGCTGTTCGGCTATTCAGTTCAGCCCTGTACGGCTGATTGCAGCCGTCCCACCGCTAAAATCAGCCGTTCATCAGCTGGCTTTGGCTCAGCATGTTTGGCTGAGCCAAAGTGAAGAAGCTGTTTGACTCAGTCGATCCACCATTTGGATCGGCTGAGCCGAACCTCCGGCAGTTCACTCGGTGCTATGCTCTCCTATTCTCATAGGTGAATTTTAGTAGGTGAATAGCCGGATGGCTCCGAAAAGCATTCGGCTCCGTCATTTTGCTCACTACCTCCGAGGTAGCGAGCAGAATAAAAAAATGACACAAAAATGAACAAAAATAAAATAAAAAATGGCGTGGGGTGCTCTTACCGATCCATACCAGACCCTGGTAGGAAAGTTAGGAGGGAACCCAAGTTAAAAAAATATAAAAATATGTAGGATCCCCCCCAAAGTCATACCAGGCCTTTTAGGTCTGGTAGAAATTTAAAAGGAGGAACACCACACCCAAAAATGGGGGGGGGAAACGTGGGGTCCCCCTAAAATGCCCAACCAGACCCTTAATCTGGACACAGGTCTGGCAGGGCAGGAAAGGGGTGGGATGAACGAGCAAGCACCCCCACTCCATGCCACATTACTCCACATGACCTCGGCCCTGGAAAATCACCTTGTCTCCATGCTGATGGAGACAAGGGCCTCTATCAGGCACGACCCTGACCCATTGGTTGTGGGGGTCTGCGGTCAGGGGGGCTTATTTGCATCGGGGTACCCCTTTAATAAAGGAGGGTTCAAGATGCTGCCCCCCCCTTTTCACTCAAGGGTACAATAAAAATGTAAATAAAGAGCCCACACTTTTCTAAAAAAATCCTGTAATTGAAAAAAAACACACAGATTTTTGATAATTCCTTTGTAAAGAAAAGAAACGTCTAGCTCCGCCCAGTTGTTCACATTTGAGGGGAGAACAATCTGCTTTGGCATAAAGCTTATGCGTTCCGCTCAGCTGAGCCATTTTGTCTGCCTTCGGCTGCTGTATGAGCTATTGTGAATAGCCTGTATAGCAGCCCTTCGGTTCGGCTGAACCGGAGGGCTCTGGCAGCCGAATTGAGCCGAAGGATTAGCCGATGCTTTGGCTTAATCCTTCAGCTCAATAGTGAATAACCCCCTTACTATTATTTAAACACACTAGGTTCTCCTCAGAGATACTGTACTTTGTATCACTTTGAAGCACACTAATCCAATTTGCTCAGCTCAATAACACAGTGTGATTAGCTGCAAGCCAGATCAGTGGCTGTAACAGCACTAAGATTACTGCGATTGGCTATCGCAGTGATCACAGTGCTGGTACCCCCTGATTTGCTGTTGAGGGTCTGTCTCAGACACAGAGGGACACAACAACAGCATTCAACACCATGAGTGCTGGACCAGAGCTCATTTTCCTGCATGACGGAATTATTTGTCATCAGTCTTTAACCAT